GCCGAATAAAGTTTTTTATGAGCCTGTTGTTAGCTTATCAATGAAAGGACGCGTATTCATTAGCCATGTTTGAGGAAAGTCGGATTTGAAATACATCTATGATACTTCTAATGAAATCACATGCATGAGGTACCTCCCAGGAATTGATCACCTCTGGTCGCTTTATTCTCTATTCTACAAATTTTATTCCTTCTTAACTCGAAGTACATTACATCATCGTTTGGTGTAGACTACAATCAAAACAGCTGTTTTCTTGCACATCAAAGCCTTCCGCGGTGTATATGAAAGGCAGAAGGCTTGCATGCTCCGCCCAGAAACACATGGTTAGGTGGAGTTTATGAGAACATTATGACATTTCCCATCACACGTTAGTGTCTTTGTAAGATTTCCTCCTTTTTTAACTCACATTAACATTTATATCCTTCTCTCTTACACTTCCTTTCCTCCTCATTCACGAATTAAACTTAGGGAACACAGGCATGCCAACCAAGTCACATGTGGCGATCATGATTTTTCTATCATGAGGATTATCATCAATCACTTTTTGCTTATTTGTATCCAACCACATTGAGTGAAATTAGTTGAGTCACTGAGAAATCAAGAGTAGCAGAAGTAAAAATGATGCTTAGGGAAAGCAGTAGTGCGAAGAAATCCATGTTTCGTTCTACAAGATGATTAATGAAACTTTCCCTTGATTGTTCAAGCTCGTTCCACTTTTTTGTTAACTCTCTTACACCCACGGCTTCCCTCATATTCCGTCATGCTAGGAATTTCCTTTCTGTTCATCCACACTTCGCCGCAATCTAATTCTTCCTTCCTTTTCTTATTTTGCCTTTCCTTAATGTTTTACATATGAAATATACTTTTGAACACCTAAAAACAAAAGCCTTGTTCTAAGCGCTTCCACTTAAAATCCAAAGAATGAGAAGAATGAATATCTCTAGAAATATCCTCATTTTTTTCTGAAATCCTTTTCCCTACATCATATATTGGATCGACGGTGGTTACCTTTTTGATACTTAGATACTTGGACGGCTCACCCTCACTGCTTGCGCTAGCGCTAGCATAATCTCCATTTTTCGGAGATTTGTTGGTTAAACCATTGTGGTTCTCTGGAAACACGAAGTCAGCCTCGCGAAAGTCTGCCCCAGGTCGTCGTCACTGCATGCAGTCGCCACCCTTGTGGATCAGAGGGAGATTTGCTACCATGCGACTAGTTTTATACCAGGACGGTGATGGGTTCTGATATTGGTTTACTCCTAGCTGGACTTCCTGGCAGACACGCCGGACTACTTCTGAACTTGGGAGACCCTGTCGGGTGGATGAATCGTTCCGCTGTTCATCGCAGCGCGACACCCAGGAACGTCTCTCAGCTACGATGAGCCGGTAAACCGTTGGGAAATTGACGGTGGTTATGGTATTAAATTCTAAACAACACATATCTGGAGGAGATGAGCTCCATGTCTGTCTTACATGAAACTGACTAAGATCCTTTTTACTTTCGCAATTATTTTCTTGCATACGTGCGTTGATGTTCTTCCGTGAATCCGGATTCGTCGTAATTTATCCAAAAGTATACATTTATGTGACAAAAAAATTTATTAAATATGGGATGCCGCTCATTACTGTTTTTTTCATAAAACACTGCGATCTCCAGGTGCTTTCGTAGAGCTCCGAGATAATTCTGTTACAATCAGCGTGTTCACGTCGTTGTCACACGTATGCGGTGGTTATCGTTGACCAGACGAGTACTTGCCACTTACTTACAAATACCTTCTGCCTTTTGGGATGGCAAAGATTTTCTGCATAGAATTTTTACTAGCTAGGGTTCTACATATAAATGTCGAGCTTTTAAGCTTCTTTGATCGCGACTGGAGATAAGCCCAATCGAAGCACTTTTCACACACTTTGCTGATATTTAATGGTTCTGAACGACAATCTTGCCTTGAAATTTCGGAATTGGCGCTATAGTATGAGGACTTTTCACATTAGTTGCTGGATATGTTGCTACCATAACAGAAATAGTATCTGGAATTGGTTTACGCCTATCTGAATATCCGGATGGAAGTGTAACGCATCCTATCAACCTGGAAAATGGTAACCGACGATAGGTCCCCGTTCCAAATCCCAATATGCACATGGATACTTTTCTCGACCAATACGCCGCAGTAAATCCATTGGAGGAAGTTCTTTACAAGAATAACCCTACTCAAGCAGAAGCTTTTCAACTTTTTTCGATATTTTATAGTTAATCCAACGAATTTTAAGAACGCAGAAAAAGCTGGATAAGTATAAAGCATTCTGTTCAGATGTTATTGTAAAAGTACAAAATATTAAGCTTCGTACGATGTGTTGTCTTTTTTCTTTGAAGGCCTGGTTCACGTAGTACTTTAGAGGCTAACACAACAACCTAAGTTCATTAATAAATGCAGTGCGGCTTCCTCTCAGTCGCTTTTCTCTAAAATCAAAGACAACAATAATTTTTGATGAGATCAGATACCAGGTGCTAGAAACGTATTTACACATAGTGTTGGTCTTTGAGCTTTTCAATTTATCACCGTCATATCATTAAACAAAACTCTGGATCTGTCGCTGCTTTCACATCGAATCGTCATGAGATTTGCAAACACCTTAGAGATCGTTGACTGATATTTATGGTTTATGTTTGTTTAAATAGTTTTCTTTAGTGGTATCAGCTATTGTATGAGCCATCTCTAATCCGCAGCATCATTTACAGCTCTTCCTGTGCACACAAGTGTATAAAAGAAAAAAAACCTAGGAAGGTATGAAAACGTTTAGACGATAAATACGCGATTTTATTGGAACAACGCTCAACTCTGCTTCAATTCATGCTGTGAATTTCTCATTCTAGAAAAACACACCCTTAACGACCTTGATAGCAGTACTCGATTTTTAAAGACTTCTGCCAGTTTCCAGTCCATTAGCAAGTAAAGTGCTTCGTTGTGATTGTGTACTTTTTAAAATATACACGTTTAGAAAATAAAATGCGCGTATGTCAATATACCTGCGTATAACGTTGTCGTTATTGGTGCCTTGCAAGACTCACTCGATCGGTTGCTGGTTCAATCACGCGTCCTAAGTTCACCAAATCCTGCATCCGTTCTGTTTCATCGTGTTGTATCAGACTGGTCTGGGAGAATAAAATCACTGGCACGAAATATCATTAGGCCCACGAGGTCGAATCAATGATACATCTCTCGGGGATTGATCAACGCCGAATTATTTATCCTTTTTTATCCTTTCTCTCCTTCCAATAGTTCGGCTACTCATCATGTCTTAGCATTCTCTCTGCGTATCATATAACTCTGATTTACTGCTGGAGTTCGTCCACTAGTAATGCTTCATCAGAAAAGAGTTCGACATTCCCTAGTGGTAGCCCAGCAAGAAGTAATACAGTACGAGAAATCATTACCTGCCACTCTAGTTAGTCCAGCATAGTCACTAACTGACAAATAACTACGGCTTGGGAAAACAAAGCCTACCAGGGAAGTGAAGCCAAATTGATGAATTATCAGTTAAATGAAGCTTGTTCTGTGGTCCGCGTGATTCTTCGTGATTCGTTACGATGGGTGTTTCCATTATCAACTATTATAATGATGCTGAGAAGTCGACAAAACATGAACCTCAGGCCAGATTCGAACCTGCGAATGCCCTCTCCAGGGATTACGTGTGACTCACTTCACTGTTGAGGTCATCGTTTTGCCCTTTTCTCTGTCAGTTTTTTACCTTAACCATGCCATCAGCAATCACCTGTCAATGGGACTGATCCGGAGAACACAAATCGGCACTGACCCCAGTTAAGCCGACACTTCGAAATCACAATGTCAGAAACCAATCTGAAGTTATACATTGTGATTTGTCGGTTTGCTCCTACATTCCGTTCTCCTTCAGCCCTTTGGCTAACATCAGTTTATATCTGGGCCAAAGTAACCTATGCACTTTGCCTTAGGATGAACGACAAAGGCTGAAGCATTTAGTGGTTGTAATCAATCGCTGGTGCATCTCAAAATTACACTGTCATGTGGCACATTTGACCAATACAATGTCATGCGGAAGCCAGTCAGTGTATCATTTCGCCCTTCCATACAAGTCGAATATGAATCTGCCGATCCGCATAAATGATGGGCTCCGTATTCCAGGGAATGGGGTCAAATCAATGACTAAGTGTACTGCAAGGTACCTTATCCAACCACTGTGCTACCTTTCGAGATAGTTCGATGAAGGCTGTGAGCTCTGTGCGTCCATTTCAGGGGATTACTTCGTGTTCCATACATAAGTAATCACGTTCATGCATGCAGGATATGGTGTGTTTGTATATAGGAAATTGTTCCGTACACTTCGCATTGTGCGAAATCCTGCAACCAAACGACTGGGAAGTACATAGTAGGCGGTTCAGAATTACACTGAACAACTAGACTTAACGTGTACTCCGATAAAATACGGCGATCTATCAATGACTCTACCACTAAGCCCTCGTGTTAGTGTTCCACGGAGTATCTGTTGATGCGCTTTATAAAAAAAAAAAGACAGTATAGAAAGATCGTACACGGAACCTGCTGTGCTTTTCGATGAATTTGGTGACATACAGCATCATGTTGATGAATGTGACCTATCAAGTAGTTATCATTCTTGATGATTCTTCTGCATATTGTGTATATTGTAGATTCTGTATGTCACATTAGTTCGTTCTTATAAATAGCTAGTTGCTTTCAGATTGATCCTCATCTTTTTAGATGTTTTGCTGCCACTTTACTCTCTTCAAATTTGTTCTAAAACCACCTTAAATGTGATATTCGTGACATACATTCTATGTTTGTCGTCTTGATGGTGATAAACTGTCGACACTACCTTCGCGTTCACAACCTTCTCGTTGTTCTGTGTTGTTGTTCTACCGCACCTTTCCGTTTTCCTGTTTCATTATGACGACTTTGATATGATCATCTTCTTTTTTTTCAGTTGTTGTGAACACTTTACTAGAAATGGGCAATACGAAGTCAGCAGATGCGAAAGTCGAGCAAGACGAATCGGCGAAGGTAAAACCCAAAGTTAGCAACGCCGGCCGTAGATTGTCCGCTACTCCAAAGAAACTATCGAGGTAATTTCCCGATTATTTCCGGCTGTGGCGTGATATCTGATATCATCACTCTTCAAGTTCATTGGTCTTTTTTTTTTCTTCATTTTCCAAACGCAATGATGCGACTGCAATTTGAAAGAACTACACTTTCTTTTCGAACGCACATTTCGAGTATTTATCTTCTACTTTTGACTTCATTGTAATCATTTTTCTGGAGACCATCAGTGATAGAATTCACCTAAATGTGGGTACGAACGAAACGCGTTCGGTATTAACCAATTCCTAGACGATCCTTTATGCATTCGACTTCATTCGTATCAATTCGTAACATAGTGGACGTCAATGAGTGCGCATTTGACTTGTGGGGGAGTCTGATTTCAGTTTTCCGGCTTCGGAGTTATGGAAACTTAGTTGGTCTAGATCCCAAAATCGAACCATTACCATTCGGTTTCCATTTCAAAGCATCGGTTAATGTGATAGCTTATGAACCCATAGCTCACTGAATATGATACTTCACAATAACTTCTCTTATTTTGCGACTTTTGAACAGTTTTAATTTCAGGTCTTCAACGTCATCACAAGGGAATCGTAGGCCACTCCTAACCACAAATCAAAGGGCTATCATCAAATTTTGCATGGAAAACTCAAAAGACGATATCGGTGAGAACCAATCAGTCGATAATGCCGAAGCGATCGACAGCTAATGACCACTGTCATTGCAGCTGATCGAATTATACGCCGTGGTACCGAGAAAAAAGACGACTTCAAAACGTTCATCGATAATCTTCCTAAGGTCAGTAAGCATTTGATGATATTATTGATACCACCAGGACAATTTCTGAACAAGCTCTGCACTTTTTTCCACCGCTTATGCAACGGATTTTATGACTGTTTTCCTAGAAATTCGTCATGCAGAGTAGAAAACAACACCTTTGCACGATCTTTTCTGCAGAAAATCTAGAAGTTGATTTTATTTCTACTGTGATGAACTGAATTCCTGTCAATCTTATTAGAAAGTAGGATTACAGTAATAGCGTAAACGATAGCCACCTCAAATATTATGAATCTACCGTAACCGCAACACAGTGTGTTGTCAGGCTTGAAGTAGCCTGACGTGATTTGATTAATGATTTTGTTGTCTGATAAGATCGCATCGTTTGATCTTACACGATGATGGACGAAATTTCATATCTGGTGAATGCAATGTACCTTTTAGGTTTCACTGATTTTTTTAAGAATGATACCCAGTTGTGTATTTAGGGTTTTCAAATAATTCCTAATACAGCCATTCTCTATTACGTTTACTGCGGAATTAAAATATATGGAATTATCAATGGATACTTATGAAAGCTTCTTAGACTCTGAAATTCTATAGTCTTGCGTATTTCATCCACCACGATGATTTTAAGCTAATAATGTCCAGGTAACGGTTGTTTCAACCAATAAGATCATTGTTTGGTTCCCAATTTTCAATAAGGGTTAAGCAAGCTGCAAAGCAATTTGACATTTCTATCCGAAACCGCCTCTAATAGTAAGTCTACACCAATGAATAGCTCGGCCATCTGTCAGTTGCTATCTCTTCGTCAAAAAGAGTGTGACGAAAAAGCGTGTCAAGGGTATGGTGCTCATGGTGTTCGTTCACGAAGAGGAACGCAATGAGAAGCCCTGGAGTGCGATGAGGACCAGTAAAGTTACAGAAACCGGCTTAAGTTACTCAATGATTCTTATGAGACTGAGGGCCAAAATGCTGGACGGAATTGTGCATATCATCATTCAAACTTCATCGTTACATCGTCTCGAAGCGTTTCAAACAACTTATCACTTGGTAACTTTTCAGCGGTAAGGCTTTTTTAAGACTGTGTTGCTCTTCAACGAACCCGAACTCTTTTACTCACCCCTGAGTGTACGTTTTTCTTCGTTTTGTTTCTCATCCGAATGCACTTGTTTTAGTTTTTCTCAGACATCCTTTTCTGTTGTCAGGATACGATTTTTCCGGCAACAGCTGCTATTTCAAGCCACACATAAATCAAGACGATCGACGTTAGTGTGGGCTGAAGAACTGAATGACGTAAGTTCGCCGAAAAACAACGGATTATAACGACGACGAACATTGCTTGCCTAACAAGCAACAAATGACGATCGAACTACTTTGATGGGGTTCCTTTAAGGAAGTTTTGGAAAACGAGTGCATTCTGTGTCTAAGGAGATCTCATTACTTGTAGAAAACAGGATAATATCAAGAGAAAGGCTTAACTAACAAAGAAGCAACTGCACCAGATAAAACGAAACGAATTAGTCTTTTCGTTTGTTAATCCTCAATGAGGTGCACACGTCAGGGAGCTGGAAAAAACGCTCATTGATAGGCAAAATGAATTAGTTCTATGTTAGCAATCTTATAAATGAGTATCTGTTATTATGATATAGAGTTATTATATTACAACGAATAAAATGAAAAGTGATATCAATCATGACGAAGCACAGAGACTCTTTGCAAAGTAGACGCCTTTTTTCCTCTAACATACGTTTTGCAAACGTCATCGAATTCTCGAAAAGAGTAGAAACAGAGATTATACACTTAATAAAAGGTGGGGGGGGGGGGGGGGGGGGGGTGGAACAAAATAGGGTCGTCAGATGGTCGAACGAAAGCCAGTGATTGAAAAGTTTTTCTCACGAAGAAGATGGAATGTGAGTTAAACGAGTAGAAAGGAACGAGCGCTTATCAACGGCAGCACTTCCTGCTGATATTTAGAACGTTCATGGCAATACTTTTAAGTGGACGATTAACTAGTTGACATCAACTGACAGATCACTGTAGTCTTTTCAAGAGTTCCATTTTTGGCAGTGCTTTGAGTTGTGATTCGGCGAAGGATCAAAGATTTCGCATGCTAGTAGTGTAGTTAAGATGTAGCGCAAAGTAACATCGATGAAAACCAATTATAAATGGTCATGATGTCAGTAGACTTTATGTTTAAATAACTGCTATCCATGTGCATTAGTGAACCTCACGAAATTTTCCTTGACGTTGCCATTTATGAACGCGAGCATATGTGTACTTTATAAGAGAGGCTGCGTGGGTAGCGTACTGGTTAGAGGTGCCCAGCAATACACACGTGGTTATGGCTTCGATCCCGCGCCCGTGTTCACCAAACATTCCATCATGCCGGGGTCCGGAGTTTACTACAGTTCTTCCGGAGTAGCGAAGCTGTTTGAGAGGACAGTAGCACTGGTTTCATACATCAATAGGCCACCGCAAGTCATTGTTTGGGCCATATGCATTCAGTCACCTCTAACGACGGGTGGTGAAGTTGAATCCCCCAGAAGTAGATCTATGCCGGAAGCTTTATTGTGTATCCTTTACAACGTAGCTGAAAAGATGAAAGATGTAGCGGCGCTACCACAATATAGCGATGCTACCGTGGTAGAAAAATATGGGCCATCAAAGTAATACCACGAGAAGAAAAGGGATCTGTGGGAATAACCAGGATTTGTTGAGATTAGATAAAACTTACATTCTATTCTCAGTAGAAATCGAGTCGCTATGCACCATATTGAGCTTAAGAAGGGATGGCTTCTCCAGTATGATAAAGTGTTGGCCAGTAATGATGCAGAAAGAGCGAAAAGAGTTGTTAGCGTTGTTGCTTTACGTTCTGATCATTCAATAACCAGATGTCTCTCAGACTCAACGAAACGAAGTGTCCGAAGCGCTACGAGGTTTTCTGATCCGCGTGTGCGACATACTTACCGACTCCGAAGAAATTCAACGGGTTCGTTGTAGGATTTTTCTTCGACTTCCTAGAAGAATCTCTACAGAATGTTCCCGAAAAGAGAAATATCTATGTTTATGTCGTTATCACGTGGCCACTCACTAGAGAGTTGAGGGACGAACCTGTCAACTGTTTTCGGTTTTATTGCACAAGTTTCCGAATATTATTCTTTTGAAAGTCATGAATTTTTTATTGCATTAACATTCTCAGGTAGCTGAAGACTTCGGCGCATCACATGTACCTTTCCGAACATATGGTTTTAAACCGGATTTTTTTGCTAGCACGGCCGATGCTGTCACCACTGAATGCACCTACCTCGACCAAGCTACACACACAGCAAGCGAAACCGCTGGGGCATGGTAATCGCTTAACAGACGAATTCTTTTCAAATCACTTAGTTTTCTAACATTATTGTTGAGCATTTGTGCCCTTTTCCTCAATCTCCATAGAGAAAGTTCGTTTCCATTTCAGAACATCACAGCCTATATTGGAAATCAAGCCTTAAAGAAAACCACTTTGAATTTGTATCTATAGAAAAGCAAGTGGTTTAACATATACATGACGACGCCTAATTCCATCTTTACAGACTTCTGCTTTTCAAAAATAGACGGTAATTGTTGATAACCAGAAGACTTGACAGGTTGAAAGCGCCACAGAATTATAGAAGAGAGTTTCACCTATCGTTCTGTGGATATAAGTGCCATATGTATACCACTATTTATTGTATGTTATTATGGTCCATAGAGGCGCGTGTGACGCAATGGTCTGAGGCGCCCTGCAACACACACGTGGAATCGATCCCCGCGCCCATGGCCCATCAAGCCCTCCACCCCCACGGAGTCGGCAAATTGGTTCCAGAGTTGTTTTGAAGGATAGCAGCACTGGCTCCATATATTGCTAGACTACCGTGAGTCACTGTAAAGACCAGATATGCATTCAGTCACCTTCAAACGTTGTTTAATGAAGTCGAATGCATAGCACATCCCTCAGGGATTGATCAACGCCGAGAACTTCATCATCTTCATTGTGGTCCACTATACAAACACATGACTGTCGTGATTTGAAAGTGTTTTGCAGTACTGGTTAAGTCCAGCCAGTTCTGTATTTTTTAAACCTTCTCTTTGCTACGATAACCATTATGACGTAACTATTCTGACTCATTATGACGACTGAAATTGGAAAAATAAAACGACCAATTGACTGTTAAATTACCGGCCGATGAACTCGTTTAAGAGAAAGTTTTTTGTATATTTTCATGTTCAAAATAGGGCTTCCGCCGGCCGACGAATGATTACAATAAGCTCAGAAAAGCAGTTCCGTGCACCAAAATAAACCATCGAAAACAAAACGACCTCTATGGAGGTGATTCTGGCCATTGTTTTCCCATAGCGAGTGACGCCTGTCGAAGTCGCGTCGTCTCATAAGTGTTAATCTATTAACTCACTTTCACTTAGGTCCACACTGAGTGCGTTCCTGTTCTCGGCGGTTCGTGATGGTTATTATGCAGAACTGCGTCGGCAACGGAAAGCGAGCAACGCATACCGCAGCCGGCCGTCCTTTGACGTCAGTTCAGAAGGCAGTCTAGTTGACGGCGGCAGTCGAAGGTTGGTTTTGAATTGGTTTGTATATACGAATATCAGCCTTTCAACTGTTTACCGCTTCATCATGGCTGTTAAGTGTTTCTGGGTGTCGAGTTGCGATGCGCAGCGTGATTTATCCCCTCAGCAGGGTCTCCCAAGCTGAGAAGGAATTCGACGTTTCCATCATGAAACCCAACCAAGGGTAAACCCTCATGATAACAAATCTTTCTGTGATCCACTGGAGTGGCGAATTGCTGGAGAGGTGACGACCTGAGAAAGGCTCCACCTAGGCTCATCTCACGACGCCAGAGAACCACAGTGGTTTAACCAGCGAATTTCCGGAGAATGCGAATTACTCCCGAGCCCGCAGAACCAGTGAAGACGAGCTATCTAAGTATCAAAGTATATGAATATCAAACAGATTTCTTTGATCAGTATAAGCTTTCAATACGTACACATTGAAACTGAACTTAAACAGAGAACACCAGTCAATGTCGTGTTATTGGTGTAAAGTCCATTATACTTTTTCCAACGGGAATCGCGTACGTGAAACACAAGTTCTGCTAAAGAAGACAATATTGGCTTTATGAACCACCCTCTGTCCCTATCGTCGTTATGTGACTATAGATCACTGGTACTGGTACACCTTCACACGCAAATCGATTACGAAAATAAAGAGCCTTGAAGGTTATTTACCAATACGAAAAATTACAACCAACTTTTGAGAAGGCTCTTCCTTGCCTATTGGAAACTTTTTGTTGACGATTTGCAGTCCCTATAGAATCTCGTCCATTCTTTTGATCTAGTTTGTGTTAATATGCTTCTCGTGTTATAGATGTCCTAACCTTAAGACGCTTTAAGGGACTAAAAATCTTCTTTTACTTTAGCTGGTTAAGTCATGAAACAACTCTATTTTATTGATTATAGCAAGACAACCACACGACCTCTATACTCGATTTCGTCTTTGCTTTCAGATCGGCATCTCCGACACCGGACGAGATCTCACAGAGTAGTGAACCAAAAGAGAATACCTCAAGTTATTTAGTACCACCACAGGTTTACTAAGCTTAAAGCTGATTGCTTTACAGTCGTCGCCAATGTAAGATGTGTTTCTTTTCTTGTCGTTGTTTCGACATTTTTCGAAATCGTTCGAACACGAACACATTGTCTCGTCTTTCGGAGCGACATAACGTCATGAACCTGTGCTGGATACGAGTCCTTTAATTTGCACTTTATAACTGTGTTCCGGCGTTTCTCGTCCCACTTTATGTCTCTGATATTGATTGTGTTCATTTATTTTACTATTGTGTGGAATATATATGGAATATATAGTACTGTACATGAATTGGTCACGTGTTTTCTCGGCAATAAGTGATTTTCATCTGTATTTCAGAAGTTGAGTACCATTATGTTCATCTACGACAGTAGTGGTTCATTTCGGGTAGATTGAAAAGGTCGTATAGAATTTCTATAAAATTTTTTATCGATTACCTTCCATCGATTACATGTTTTCATATGTATGCCACTGAATGCGCATGGACATCACTCTGATATCCAGGCAATTTCCCTTCTGATTTGTCTCGTTCATCGTATTGATGATGTTATATGTTTGTCGTGAAGATCGTGTGTATAACTGATAATAGTGTATTAAATGGATTTTTTAAAATAACTTGTGGCAGCATTCCCATTTTGCGTTGCGCTTCGATAAGTAACGGATGCCGTCGAAGATGATTGTCGACGAATTGCCGACAGGCTTTCACATGCACTTTGCGGATCCTAACATTTCTTGCATTCGATTTGTTTCCTCTTATCCATCATCTACAAGGCTGTCCCAATTTTTTGCGTGTGGGTTCGGCTGCTGATTGAAGATTTTCCTTTCCTCATGAATACTGGTCGGGTCGATTCTCCCTGGAGTCTTGAGATAGCCGGGCTAGAACATTTCCACTTGGACTGCATAGAATGAACTTTTTCCAGGTGTCAATTTCCTGTTTTCTAAGAGATAAGAGACTTGGTAGGTACCTGTGCGAAGTCGAACCAGCACTATGGTCGCGATGATCGGCATCAATGCCACTGCGCTACCCTCTTCTCATTGAAAGCGTCACAAATTCAGTGGTTTTTTTCTGGAGCACTGAGAGTAATGGACCAAAAAGTCAACCGACCAATGGATGTTGTGCAATCTTGTTCGTCTCTGTGGATGCTGGAAGCCGGTCCCTGCTAAACTGTGGTTATTTAGTGACATTCATTTATTGACGTTCGAAGGAATCGACGAAGAAGGAAACCTGAACGCGACTTTCATCGTAAGCAGAACGAAAAATTAGACATCTAACAACTAACGGCTAAGGTTTTTATCTTATTCCTAGATTTAAGAGTGATTAAGAAATATTTGACTGAAAATGACACTGCCAAATGCGATCGACTAAAACGAACTGTGTGAGTAGGGCGGCGCCTGCGAGGGAGACTATACTGTTTCCTCGTGGGTGAAGTATGATACAGTTACTTAGAGTAGTATCTGTACGGTCCGTCTACTAAAGAGCTCAATCACCTGATCAAGAAAGGCCCAATTAACTTTTATGAAGCACATGCGTATCGATTATTACTTTAGAATCATTTGCCAAAATTTTGGAATACGGTAGCAAGCTGTACCTTCAAAGAAGTAACCGTAATCCTAGAAGCGTTCGCCGCAGTAGATCTGAACTGATCAAAAGAAGGATATGCTGCCCACTATACACGGTTTTGAAAACCTGTAAAAATCTCGTTATTGAATCCCTCGATTGCGATGACAGTAAGGACACTGATTAGGAACTATGAATGTCAAGAAGCATCATTTGTGGTCACTTTCTTTTTATTCAAAAATTCTATTTTTCCAACATCACTGTTGGCCCGAGATTCCACAACATACGCGGTCACAGCGCTCTCAGCGGTGAGGTCGTTTTCCCGAAAGGAGTGAAAGCAGGAGAACACATTCGGTTAACAAAGTTGTTGCGTACTGAGATTATCTTTGTGAAGAGAGTAGAAGCAGGTGAGGACATTAAATAAAGCCACAAGCTCATGATTCACTGCGATGGCAGTGGTTTACTTGCTGTCTCGTAGGAATGTACTGTTACGAAAACTTTAACACTTGGGGATCGACGTGGGTGAGTTTCCAGCGCCATATTCGGGTCGACGGAATGGCCAACGTAAGTGGATATTCATTCATTTTCTTTGTGACTATTTATTTTACCGAATACAGGTTTCTTGCTACATTTTTTGTGATAAATCGAAGACTCGTTGAACGTAGATCGTTGTACAAGGCGAAGGTTATGTGTTTGTAGCAAAGTCGGCTAGGTCCTAGAAGAACTGTTATGCTGTTTCAAGGAATTTTAAAGGCTAATAAAATTGATTTTGCACCAGATGAAATTTAGCCGCTTCTATGGCCAAACTGAGTGTGATCATCTATACGAGGATCATTAACTTCAACCATTTGAGTTCTTATTTTCACCCATCGATCCACCATTTGAAGCAAAAGAATGGGAAATGTATCCCCCTCTCTTCGAATCCACCACACTATGGCCTTAATGAAGGGAAATATAGGATTCGTTCGATTCTTATTTATTTACAAGGCTGGCAATATCTTAAGTGAAATATGGGTTTTCATCTTGATTTCGATGAAATCTCCATAAGTTTGATGTCATCAAAGTTAAAATTTGCCTACTTGAATAAATGTTTTGACGTAGTCGGAAATGGATTCGACGTTCAAATCCTATGGCAAGTTAGCATTCCTAACTTTGTATATAAAAGCTTGCAAACTATAGAAGATTTTCAGTGCCAATGTCTTACCAATCTATAAAGACATCTTATGTCTTGATGAAAGGATGTGGGATCGGGTGAAGATTGACAATGGCTAGAGGATGTATTATATATGACCTGTGCAGCGTGAAGTAATAATAGTAGGTAAGTAATAAAACAAAAACTAAAAACGCGATGAATGAAAGACGAGTAGTGCTGTGAACTGGATTTTTTCGGAGTACATCTTGTTTCACTTTGTTAAGCTCGAGTTCACTGGTTCGATTTGCCTGATCTGATATTTAAAGCTCTGATGCAGCGTAACTTCAAGGTGAGCACCGCTACTTTTAATAGTAAGGCTCGATTGATTCGAATTAGATTAGTAAGCTACCAGAAGAGTGCTATTGAAATTATGAAATGTCAGATTTTCAAATATTTTCAGCTTTCATTATGTGTATTTACTTAGGTGCCTTAGGTACGTAGCGTGGTGGTTAGAGGTATTCTACAATACAAATGCAGTCCTTAGTTCTACCTCGCGACTCGGTCCCACTAAGCCTTCGATCCCATCAGAGTCTGTGAATTGGTGCCAGACTTATCTGAGAGGATAGTGGCACTGAGTTGGTACACCATTGGTCCACTAAAAATCATTTCATGAGCCAGATATGCATTTAGTCACTTCTAACGATGCTTGTTGAAGCTGAGTGCATAACGCACTGCCTAAAGGTTGATCAACACTAAGCGCTTCTACCTTCTTCCTTTACTTAGGAGCCTTGATTAACTTCTACATTGCTCAGCCAGCGCACTTCTATTTGCTGGGTTCCTCTTTCCCCACCACCTCTAAAATGGCAGGTTCAATATGTGAGAGATTTGGAGTTGAATGTTCAAAGTGATGGTTATGAGTGATCGTTCATCCATAATACTTACAAAAATGCTCTGTCATCAAACGATGTGTAAATCGCAATGCCTCCCTCGTTTCTTTACTTTACAATCAACAAACGAAGAAATCTTGGTATTTGCTTATGAACTTAATCTCTGTTTGATGATCTGTCGGCTGTTCTACCTACCCAGTGACATGATAAACGGTACTCGTTTGGGTTTTCCTAGAATTACGAAATAGCTATGCTGGTTGCTTGCTTGGTCTGTCGGTCTACATGAGTTGACTGTCGGTTAAGAATCGAAAAGAGCTTTTCTGGGACTAGGTTTTCTCCAGGACAGCGGTGAGTTCAGAGCTTTCGACTGACCAATCAAGAACTATGTAACTCAAACTGGATCAAGAAAATTCGACAGAGATATTAAAATGTTCTCATTGCGTTCATGTTATGCAGAACTTCTTCTGCGCTCAGTAAGTTGGGCAATATGTCATCGTAATGTGAACTTAGAACATACCTTAGCTAACGTTTTTTCGTCACTCCACCACGAATTTAGCGCCAACGATCTCTCTAACTGCCTGTCTCCATTACGGACGACGTCGTCTACATTCCGTTTATCTCCGCTCCATCTGCTTTTTTCCGCATCCAGTCGTCTTTCTAGTTGTTGGCTCCGCTAAGCACTCCACTTTGTTCTTTTGTTTCTTAACATTTCTCGATTTTATACTTTTCTTTTCCATACCTTTGCTTGTTCACTTTGTATGGATTTCTTTTGCTCTATTATTAATAAATACGATTTTTTACAATTTCTTTCTCTCATTATAATTTTTTTGGGTTTTTGCCCAATTGCGGTACCAGGGCGCTTCAGTGGGAATGACCAATATTATGATGGCGCTCCAAGGTTACGTTCTGTAGAAGGTTGAAAGTTATAAGAAAAAAACTTGAGGAAATTCCCACTTACCAGTACTTTGTTTGATTGACTAGCATTTCACTAGTTCGTTTCATTATAGCTTCTTTCTTTAAATTTCATTGATATTTACTGGGTTAATATCCGTGTTAAACCCGTAAATGTCATACGTCTTCTATGTTCTCGTTCAGAAGTCTTGTTATGTGGGCTTCCTTAAATTTTCTATTTTTCATATTTTTTGATTACTACAGCAAAGATGAACGAAAGTTATGAATGCCTTAATTTCCTCTTCGAATCGAAATGAACCGTAGGTACCCCTTTCTTGGACAAAGTGCGATACATACGTACATACAGTCGTCACAACGACATAAACCACTTCTAGGTACCATGGTCAATTTGAAAGGAGGAGGAAAATGAAGAAAATCGGAAACATAAGGAAAGGAAGGAAGTTCAACAAGCAGGACATTTTTGACGACGCATATAAAGTGAAAAATGAAGCTGCCCACACATATTCCTACTCACTCAAGCGA